AATTATTTGTAAAATACAACTCTTGAAAGTTTTGTACTAATGATTTATACACTTAAACGCTATAACATTTGTAACCACAATAGAAACAAAAGAGTTTTGACTAATTTATGAAAAATATTTACTAATTATTTCGAAATAATTATTGCCATTCACAGCACAGTATTATACCAGGATGGTAAATGTATATTATTTAGTGTAAAGGTACATCTTGGTGTTTATTTGACATAAAAGTTTATTTATTTTATTAAATCAACTGCCTTTGAAAGTCCAGACTTTATCGCGCTATACATGTATATTATAGGCGATAGTTTGAAAAATTCAATCATTTAATTCATTTAAGGCATAGAATGGAAATCTTTGTATTAAAATAAACATTTGGTTTGAAGTTATTTAACTTATAAGGCCTTTGTGTGCACTTCATATCCTATATCCCATACCCAATAGAATCACAATTAGTTTTAATGATTATTTGTTATTCAGATTAGACTTATAGGCAGACTATTTGGCTCAACATAAGTGATGACAAATTCAGTCATATATTTTATTTACGAACAAAATTACATTAAAAACTGAATATTTAGACAATTAATAGAAGAAATTACACATTGAATTGATATTATAAACAATTATAGATATATTCTGTAATTTTGATAAACATTTCATAACTATATTTAAAAGTGAAGGGCATTACTATGTTATGCATTATACTATACTTAACGTAATAATAAATAATTTATATATTTATTGTAAGAAAAGATTAGTTCAAAATAATATTGAAAGTGTGAGAAAAAGTTTTGTTAAACATATTCTTTAAACAATTCTTACAAAATGCTCAATTCAATTGCATTTTATCTTTCTTTTTAAAATCGGTATTTATTTATAGGAAATGAAGATAATTATGAAGTTTTGCACAGTTTTGCATTCAATTCAAAATATTTTGTGCCATATATTGTCAATCAATTGAATGCCATTAATTGAATTCAATTCATTTAAACTCAAACCTAATTCCCATTCATAACTGTATTGAAATGTATGTCAAATACAATAATAACGTTCAGTCATCACAATTACGATCACAACCTAAGTATACACTCCTTGTAATGTGAATAGAGCTTCACTGCAGAACTCATTGTATGGTATATTGAATGTAAACTTTAATGAATTGCTTTGCGATCGAGAATTGGGTGGGAATGGGATGTGTGTTGAGTGCGTGTGTGCTGTGAATGACGTGTATATCACATATGAAATGACGTAATATATAGTGAACTGTAATAACGATATAATGAGTGAATTGAATGACATCTTCGCGTAATTGTCACTCAATTGTCACTCAAACAGATCCCACAAGCGATGGCCAGAGAGCGCACTCACGAGTTCTTCTCCACCGTTAAGTCGATCGAAGGAAAGCCTCAGTATATGAACAATGAGTTGCGGTCGCGAAGAACGGCCAACAAGTGGTCCAACGGATCCGTTAACCATTCGTTGCAGTCATCGACTCATTACAAGACATACGTCCAGTTCATGAGAGGCTCGCGATCTGTGGCCAGAGATCTGTTCTCCACGTATCAGAAGTTGGAGAAAATCAATGTTTTGGCCCAAAAGAAGACCATCTTTGACGGCGAAGAGGCGTCCAAAGAGTTGAATGAATTGGTTTATATCGTTAAACAAGACATCACTTCACTTAACCAACAGATCGAGTCTTTACGTCAGCAACAGTTGCAACAATTGCATCAACAAAACGGCCAAAACATCGACAACCACTCGAAGAATGTGGTGCTCACTCTTCAGCACCAGTTGGCAAACATTAGCAGTAACTTCAAGAATACACTTCAGCTCAGGACTCAAGTGAGACAATTGATTCACTAAATGATGATTTAATATGGATTTACTCTTTTGTCACCAGAATATGGCTCAACAGAAGCTGAGGAGAGAGCAGTTCACGACATCAGCTGCGATGCCATCGCACGTGAACTCAACGGTCATTGATTTGAGCGACGATTTGGTGGACACGAGTGGCGGACGAGAGGCTGAGCGTCGGGAACAGAAACAACTGCTTATATACGAAGACCAGAGCAACGACTACTTGGAGGAGAGGGCGTCGACAATGCACTCGATTGAGTCGACAATCGTAGAGTTGGGCACAATCTTCACGCAATTGGCGTCAATGGTTCAGCAACAGGAAGAGATGATCACCAGAATTGACGCCAATGTGACCGATACGGCCCTCAACGTGGAGGCCGCCCACCAGTCACTCCTTCAATACTTCTCGTCCGTCACTAACAATCGATGGCTAATCATAAAAGTGTTTGCGATTCTCTTCTTTTTCTTTCTACTATTCGTTGTCTTATTGTCTTAATTATAGTTATGTTTAACAATACATTTCAATTCTACTCATATTTATATACATTGAATGCAATGTTTTGTATAATCAATGCCTAAATCATACACTTTTATGACTAAAATTAACGAAACATGCATTTTATTATTAAAATTATAGTTTTCAATAATTACTGTGTTTTTCATTTCATTTAAACTATTTCTTAAATCATTGTATTTCTTGACATCATTTGATGCGAATTACTAACAGTTGTTGGACTCAACTATCGGTGAGACCATTGATCAGCAATTATTGTCATCGTTTGTAGTTTACATGTAGTTTTACCAGAGGATCGACTTGGAGAGAGAGAGAGAGAGAGAGAGAGAGAGAGAGCGCATGAGTTAAGGTATCGTCGGTTTGAAAATTGTAAACATTTGTCAACATTTGATGCAATCAGCGATCAGTGGATGCAATGGACACGTGTTTAATCACATCCACAATACTGTCATTCCTGGTGTCCTTCATATACGTCGGGTCACTGTATTGTTGGCCAAAACAGACTCATCGGTAAGTAATGATGACATATGTGTGACAATTGAATGATGGACTCAATAAAGTGATAATTAATTGAATTAGTGATAATCCGGAGACAATAAAACGCCGTTTCGTCAGTGTTTTCGGTGCAATACTTCTGTCGATAATAGTGTTGATTGTCTTCAATGGCGACCGCAATGTCTCGAGTTTGGCCATGAGTTTGGGTGTCCATTGGCCGCAACACTTGTCCACAACACAACTCATACTTAATTGCATTTTATTGCCATTAATGCAAACAAGTGTCCTATTTATGGGTCCAATAGTTATAAACTTAATTCAAGCTAAAGATAGTCACATGAATAGGAAGAATATCTATACAATAGACTTAATAGTAATCCGCAATTACATGATAGCGCCCATCACTGAAGAACTCATCTTCCGAGGAGTGTTAAGCACTCTTCTGGACAAGTGTTGGTCACTGAACGGCACTCTCATCATTAGTTCCCTGTTATTTGGTTTCTCTCATTCACATCATTATCTGTTTGAAGTGAATGACATGACTCTACGCCGAAGAGGTGGCCGCAGGAGTTGGTGGCCGGCCATCGAGCAGATGACCTACACATCGCTGTTCGCGATGTACGCCTGTCTCCTATACTTAAGGTCCCATCGGTTTATAATAACCCCAATTCTGGTCCATTCCTTCTGCAATTTAATGGGTTTCCCAGACTTGGAAGCGATCGCTTCATCCAAACCTGCCATCACTTTAACTGCCACTGGATTTGTCTTATGGCTGTTAAGTGTCTCTTATGTCTACTCTAGTCTATAGATTGATATATAATTACGTTATGCTTTCATTATATCCATTCATTTTACTTATTGACGAGTTATTTGTTTAATAAATTGATTCAAAACAGTAATTAGTTTTAAATAATTACTAATAATCTACCGAATAATACATGCATTGATTTGAGTAAAACATTTCGCTTCTCTTCGTTAATCATCTATTCATTCAATATGTGTTGTATATAATGTATATAATATCATATATAAGTTATATAATATAACGATAATGTAATTATAATTTTATAAAAATATTGAATTTGATTGAATAACAATTAGTAAAATAGAAATGTACGGCTAATGTAGCTAACCGTCCACTACTCACAAGCGGACACAACCATATTTAGGGTACGGTATGTCCATTGAGATCATAATATTGTACAATAACTAAATCTAGTGTTCAATCTTTAATTTCCAATATTTTGTATTTTTTAAATGCAAATTCTTATAAATCTTGTATTTCAATAAACGAAACGAAAAGTAAAAATATGTTTATTTGCTTAACAATAATTATTCATTAATATTTATTTAACAATAATTAATAACAATAATTCTCTATAAAAGTTCTTAATAATAATAATAATAATAATATTGTATTAGAAAATGTGAGTATGATATACTTTTTGGGTTCTACTGTAAAATCACGCATATAGTTGCATGATGTAGTACATGATCTAGCTGCAAATATTATCGTAAATTTATTTAATCTATTATATCTCTATGACTCTAATTTATTATCTTTATAAAATAAATTCAATGCATGATCATTGCACGAAATTCTACATGATCAAATAAAAATTGTAATAACATTAAAA